CTGCCTCGGCCTCCCAAAGTGCTGGGATTACAGGCTTGAGTCACCGAGAAGCCTTTTGTTTTTTTTTTATTCCTCTGGGTCACTAAACTGGGACAATGTAGACCTAGAATAAATACCAGATCCACAATTGCCCTTCCCCATCCCAACTTACTGGTGGATAAAATTGTCCACAAGGTGAGACAATAAACTCAACCCACAGAAAGGAGACAAGAATGTAGTGTGATCTCCCAGTTGTAGTTCCTTTCGGTTTTCTTTTTTAAGTCTGTTAGCTACTCCAGTAGCCTGCAGTAAATTTCTATCTATCTATCTATCTATCTATCTATCTATCTATCTATCTATCTATCTATCTGTCTGTCTATCAATCATCTATATCTGTCTGTCTATCTATCTATCATTGATTTAAGATTTGAGTGTTGACGTTATTGATAATAAGAAGGGCCAGGAGGCAGGGTCAACAAACCTTTAAGTAAAAGACCAGATAGTAACCATTTTCCACTTTGTAGTCAATAGAATCTCTGTCTCAATTATTCACTCTGCTGTTGGAACATGAAAGCAGTCATCAATATATAATTGAATGAACTTGGTTGTGTTCCATTTAAAAATATAAACACCATCCTGCATTTTCAGCCTTTACAAAAACAGGTAGTGGACTCAGTTTGGCCATGGGCCAGAGTTTGTTGACCCTCTGGTCTAGAATATAACCACGAACATCAGTAGCAGAACATGAAATGTAAGACAGTGGATATGGATAGAATTAAGGACCTGCCGAGTGAGAGATTTCAGTGAATTATCTAGAGATATTAAACTCAACATGAACAATAACAGAAATTCTGAGGGAATAAGGACTTGGAGACAAATGCCAAAGTCATCGATGAATATAGAAATGCCTGGGTGGAGCTGGGCATGGTGGCTCACACCTCTAATCTCAGCCCTTTGGGAGACTGAGGTGGGTGGATCACCAGAGGTCAGGAGTTTGAGACCAGCCTGGCCAACATAATGAAACCCTCCTCTCTACTAAAAATACAAGAGTTAGCTGGGCATGGTGATGTGTACCTGTAGTCCCAGCTACTTGGGAGGCTGAGGCAGGAGAATCGCTTGGACCTAGGAGGCAGAGGTTGCAGTGAGCCAAGACTGTGCCACTGCACTCCAATCTGGGCCACAGAGTGAGACTCCATCTCAAAAAAAAAAAAAAAAAAAAAAAAAAAAAAAAAAGAAATGTCTGGGCAGATGGTAGATACTGTGAAAATGAAAGGTAGTATCAGATGGCATATCTTTCAGGTGTAGTTTATTTGTTTGCATGTTTGTTTTTGGTGAGGGGAGGAACATTAATCTCAAAGCTGTAATAGAGAACAAAGAGGACACCAACCTGCCTCCTCCTATGTTCTGTGTAAAGAGAGAGAACAAACATTCAACATTCTCCATTTGCGACCATGTGCGAAAAGTAATGTCATTAGGGCATAGCAAAACTTCAGCTGGGTTTGGCTAAGCAAGAAAGTTGTAGGATCATTCAGATAACTTGAGGATACAAGCTTTTTTACAGATGTCATACTGGAGGATACTGTGGAAGCACAAAGATATTCAGGATGGGAGGCTAAGTAAGTTTAGGTACTATACATATAGAGGTAGAGATAAGGGACTGGAAGACTAGGAGTTCTTGTGACTATGGAAGAATGTTTTAAATATGATGTAATTCATCTGTATGATTTCTTACAGAAAGGTGAGTCATGGGTTCTAATTATAGTCCCTTTCTCAATACTTATCTCTCTCGTTGTTACAAGGGGTGAGACAGGCAATATTTAGAAAGGAGAGGAGAATGTTTCTCCTGGATAATGAGGATCCCTGTGGCATCCTCTTGGTCCTGCTAAGGAACGGTATCTCCTTTGCTGTATTCCCAAAGTTGAGCAACATTACTGGTGATCCATCTTTGTGAAATAAAGATAAGTATATAAACAACAATATTAGCAGGTAGAATAAAAGAATGGTGGAATAAATGCACTGACAAAGTAATTGGGGTTGGGGGAAGGCAAATAATTTCTCAGATTAAGATCTCAGGGAAAGATTCAATATGGCGATGCCTTTGCCGTAGGCCTTGACAGATGAAATTGTGACAGGTCATTGATGGGCTCTGATGCTGCTCTCATGACTACCAAGGTGTTTTGTGCTTGCAAAGCCCTCTGACAAGGATTGCTCTGGGAATTCTGGATACAACTATCTGTGTTCCATGATATGAAATTAAAAGATTTCATCATTCCAAATTGCTGTGTGTTCTTTTATATATATATATATATTTCCCAAGAGATAAGGAGCTAATGGCCAAACAAGCAGCAATACATTGAAAAGCCCAAGTCATCTCATCCATTGTCTGCCTTAAACGGAAGCTGGAGCTTTTATGAAAACATACCAAGGGTGGAGAAAAAAAAATAACAATTTGGAAGATTAGTTCTATTATTTCTCCAAGGAAATCAGTGGCATTAAAAAAAACACTGCTTTCTAGACTAGTTTCAGTATAATGTCAGTATCATAAAAATGTCATGATCAGCCTCATCATATGTACAATTAGTCAGTAGAGATCCTGAGGGCCCTTCCAGATATAGAATGATTCCTTTGTGCTGTCAGAGCAGGAAGGTAATAACTCAATGTTTTCAATTTTGGTTTGCTCCTTTGGTCTAGTTTTTAATAAAATTATAGCCAAAGGCTATTTTTATAAAATTCCCCAGTTGGTACAAAATTACTTTAACCTTAAGGGGTTTTTTCCCACTCTTGGATTCACTTTACATCGGGTTTTTCTATCAGTCTGCATGTAATCTGTGATGAAAAATATTCCTTCTTTACAGATATGAAAATAAATGAAGAGAGTCATCATGTTGATCAGATTTTTCACTTTGTGAGAATTGTTCCAAACCTGAAATCTTAATAAATAAAGGTTAATAATGTTTAAAAACTCCCAGGGAAAAGTGTAGGAGCCACCTGAAAAAAAAAAAAAAAAAAAAAAAACATTGTCTACCTAGTTATCTGTCTTTGTCTTTAATATTGTAGGAGAAAAAAATTAACTGCTGCTGAATAATAAATTACCACAAAATTTACAACGGAAAATAACAAGTATTCATTATAATCTGCAGTTTCTGAGGGTCAGGGATCCAAGAGGTCTTCCAGACTGGCTGGTTCAGACTCTTGGGGTTGCAGCAGATCTTCTGGCTTCAGATGCAGTCACCTTCAGACTCTGTTGCAACTGGAAGATCCACTTCTAGGCTCACTGACATGATTGTTGGCAGGCATCAGTTCCTACTGCCTGTTAGATGGAAGCCTTTATTCTTTGCCAAGGAAGTCTGTTTATAGGCTACCTGAGTCTATAGGACACGTCAACGGCTTCCTTCAGAGTGAGTGATGAGACACACACATACAAAGAAAGAGAAGGAGGGAGGGAGATAGAGATGAGGAAAGTGTGGTAAAAGGTGTTACAGACCTTGTCTGGAGTCACTAAGCTAGTGAGTGTCAGAGTCTGCCTCCCAAGCGTGTTCTCTTAGCCTCTCTGTGTTAATTTTACATCCCATATGTGCATATATATTCTGATATTTAATTATTCTATGACACTAAAAGGTAGATATTATTTCCCACATTTTATTTATTTATTTATTTTCAACTTTTATTTTAGGGCCAGGGGATACACATGCAGGTTTGTTACATGGGTAAATTGCATGTCACTGCATGATGATTGGTGTATGAATGATCTTGTGACTCAGGTGGTGAGCATTTGTACCCTATAAGTTAGCTTTTCAGCCCTCACCTCCCTCCCACGCTTTCCTCTCTAGTAATCCTCAGTGTCTATTTTCCTAGTCTTTATGTCTGTGTGTACTCAGTGTTTATCTTCCACTTATACGTGAGAGCATGTGGGATTTGGCTCTTGTTCCTGTGTTAATGTGCTTAGGTTAATGGCCTCCAGCTACATCCATGTTGCTGAAAAGGACATAATCTCATTTTTAATGGGTGCATAGTATTCTAAGGTGTATATATACCACATTTTTTTTTATATCCTACTGTTGATGGACATCCAGGTTGATTCCATGTATTGGCTGTTGTGAATAGTGCCGTGATGAACATATGTGTACATGTGTAACAATTTATTTTCCTGTAGGTATACACCCTGTGATGGAATTGTTGGATCAAGTGATAGCGCTATATTAACTTCTTTGAGAAATTCCAAAACTGCTTTCCACAGTGGCTGAACTAATTTGCATTCCCACCAATAGTCTATGAGGATTCCCTTTTCTCCACAACCTCACCAACATTTGTAATTTTTTGGGTTTTTAGAAATAGCCATTCTTACTGTTCTGAGAGAGTATCTCATTGTGATTTTGACCTGTATTTCTCTAACGATTAGTGATGTTGAGCATTTTTTCATATGTTTGTTGGCCACATGTATGCCTTCTCTGAGAAGTGTGTTCATGTCCTTTCCCCATTTTTAAATTGGGATATTTGTTTTTTTGCTGGTTTAATTGTTTAAATTCCTTATAGATTCTGGATATTAGAACTTTGTCAGATACATATTTTGCAAATGTTTTCTCTCATTCTGTAGTTTGTCTGTTTACTCTTTCTTTTGCTAAGCAAAAGCTCTTTGGTTTAATTAGATCCCACTTCTCAATTTTTGTTTTTGTTTCAATTGTTTCTGGGGACTGAGTCACAAATTCCACCACTTGCCACCTCTCCCAGCTAATAATTTTAAAACATATATATATTTTTGTAGAGACTGTGTTTCACTATGTTTCCTAGGGTTGTCCCAAACTCTTAGGCTCAAGAGATACTTCTTCTTCAACCTTCCTAATTACTGGAATTATAGGTGTGAGCCACCATGCCTGGCCTGAATCTTGCTTCTTTATCCAACTTGCAACTTTATGTCTTTTAATTAGCGTGTTTAGCCCATTTACACTCAAGGTTAATATTGATATGTAAGGATTTAATCCTGTCATTGTGTTGTTAGCTTTATTAGACTCTATTGTGTTGTTTCTTTATAGTATCTGTGGGCTATGTTCTTAGGGGAGTGTTAAACAGGGAAGCAAAGGAAACATTTCACCACATAAACACACTAAGAAGCTCTTTTAAGGCAGGTGTAGCAGTAATAAATTCTCTTAGAGTTTGCTTGTCCAAAATGGATTTTATTTCTCCTTTTCTTATGAAGCTTAGTTTAGCAGAATATTAAGATTCTTGGTTGGACTTTCTTTTCCCTTAGGATGCAGAAAATAAGGCCTGATCTCTTTTGGCTTGTAAGGTTTCTGTTGAGAAGTATGCTGTAAGCCTTTGAAAGTGGTCTATCACTTCTGTCTAGGTGACTGTAAGATGTTCGTCTTTCATGTTGACCTTGGAGAATCTGATGACTATGTGTCTTGGGGATGGACATCTTGCATAGTATCTCACAGGAGCTTGTTGAGTTTGTTCAAGTTGCATGTCAACCTCTCTAGTGAAATTGGGGAAATTTTCATCCACTGTATCCTTAGTATGATTTTCAAGTTTCTTACTCTCTCACCTTCTCTTTGTTTCTCTTTTAGGAATGTCAGTGAGTGATAGGTTTGGTCTCCTTAGATAATCTTGTATTTCTCAGAGGTTTTGTTAGTTTTTTTAAGTTCTTTTTTCTTTATTTTTGTCTGCCTGCATTGATTTGAAGGAGCTGTCTTCAAACTCTGAAATTCTTTCTTCAGCTTGGTCAATTCCATTGTCAGTGCTTCCAATTGTATTATGAAATTCCTGTAGGGAATTTTTCAATTCCACAAGTTCAGTTTGGTTCTTTCTTAAAATGGCTATGTTGTTTTTCAGTTCTTGGATCTTTACTGTTTTCCATGGGTTGGATTTCAACCTCCTCCTGTATCTCATTGAGCTTCTTTCTTAAATGGTTCTTTCTTAAAATGGCTATGTTGTCTTTCAATTGGATCATTTTACTGTTTTCCATGACATTTTACTGTTTTCCATGGGTTGGGTTTCAACCTCCTCCTGTATCTCATTGAGCTTCCTTGCCATCCTGATTCTGAATTCAGTGTCTGTCATTTCAGCCATTTCCATCTGGTTTTGAACCATTGCTGGGGAGTTGGTGTGATCATTTGAGGGTAAGATGACACTCTGGATTTTAGAGTTGCCAGAGTTCTTACGCTGGTTCTTTCTAATCTGTGAAATCTGGTGTTTCTTTATCCTTCAAAGTTGCTGTCCTTTGGATGAGGCTTTCTGTTTTTATGTCCTTTATTTCTTTTGATGGTTCAACTATGGTGTAATTTGGATATAGCCGGTTGTCTTCATTTCTGGATGCTTTCAGAGGACCAATGCTCAGTTTGACACTCCTGAGCTGTGTGATCTAACTCTGAGGGGCTGGGACCAGGTATATGGGTTTGTCCTCTGGCCTATAGATGTCAAGTATAAGCTGCAATGGAGGGACCAAGGTGCTCCCAGGCTATTGGCAAAATTTCTATGTCGGGCTGCTGACAAAAGCATTCCTATGGAGCAGCAGGAACCTCTGATTAAAGCACTTTGGTGGAGTGATGTGGAATCTATTGAAAGCACTCTGGCGGGGCAGCAGAAATGCCAGCAAAAGTACCCCTATGAGGGGCCATCAGCAAAAGCACTCTGGTGGGACATTGGGGGCCCCCTGCAAAAGCACTGTGGCTGGGCAGTGGGATCCTCTTGCAGAAGCTTTCTGGTGTAGCAACAGAAGTACCAGCCAAAGCACTCCAATGGGGGGCCGTCAGCAAAAGCACACTAGTGGATTTCCTTCATGCTATAAATGAGGAAATTGAGGCACAAAGAAGTTAGTTATTTGGGCCAAGCTTTTATGGCTAGTAAACAGAGCTCGCATTAAACCCAAGGTTTGTCTGACTCCAAATTCTATTCTGGTAAGCATTATGTAAAACATTATGGGAAATCTTTCTTCTTTGAACACTCAGTGACACACAAAGATATGTGTGTGCACACAGGAAAGACTATATGAGGACACAGTCAGAAGGTGCCCATCTGCAAGCCAAGTAGAGAGGCCTCAGAGAAAACCAAGCCTGTCCACACCTTGATCCTTGTCTTCTAGCCTCTAGTACTACGAAAAAATAAGTTTCTGTTGCTTAAATCTGTGGTATTTTGTATGACAGCCCTAAGAAACTAAAATACTTAGAAAGTGACTTTTTGCATTCTTCTGATATCCCTGTGAAATCAGGCACTTATACAGTTCTATCTTCTGTCCTGGAAAAGGGAAATCATCATTTCCCTTATATAGACATATATTCATGTAAAAGACTATGAGTTCTTTTGAAATAAGATTAGATGCTAGTTGGCATTTATGCTAGTTTTTTGTGTGTGTGCTTGTGTGTGTATGTTAAAAAAAAAAAGCCAGTACTGAGCCAAAGGACTTTCTTCAGGTATGGTGTCTTCCATTCTTCAGGTATGGTGTATTCCTGAATATCCTACAATTCGCAGGATGAAAAATGAGTCTAGGAAAACTAATGTATCTACAGTTGGATGAAAAGGTTCAAGTTCTTTAAACTGAAATTGCTTTTAGGGAGGTGAGATTCTCTTATAGCATTAATGTAAACCATTTCAGGATTGGAAAATAGGCAAATTATTGATTGTCTGCTTATGAGCCCTAAAAATGAGAGTAAAGCCAACATGTAATTTTTCTTCACATTGGTAAGAGCGTAGTTTTTCTCTCGATTCATTATACCTTTGGTGAACATTGCTACTTGCCTTCCCAACTCCATAAATCATTTCTTCCATAACAGCAACAAAATGTATCTACCCAACTCTATAAACTACTTTTCCCCTACTAACAGCAACAAAACTGGAATACTTTCGGTCCCAGTTAAAAATACTCAACCTTTCCTACTCCGTTTGTGCTAAAGTTGACTCTATTATCCTGTTCTGGTAAATGTCACATAACTAGAAATACACTAGTTAGAATTCCCAAGAAACCCATTGTTTCCCTAATTACTTTATAATGAAAAACTCAAATGGAATGTATCTTTTGCTTTTCTTACTTCCACCTTTTTCTGCCTGGGACAATGATGATATACCTGAAGATGGCAGCAAGAAGCTGTCATCTTGCAATCATGAAGGGAAATTTGCATATAAAAAAGAGCAAAGCAGAAAGTTAGAAAGAGTTTCAGTTTTTGTTTCTTTTAACAGCTGTACCAGCTCTTGGCTTACCACTAGTTGTCTTGCATATATAAAATTAATTCCCTGATTAATTGATTAGTCCACTGTAATAGATTATTCTCGCACATTTGCCAAACATACTTCTACTCAATATGTGGACTGTTTTCCCTTTTGTTGTTGAAAGAACATCCTGTTGAAATATTTCCCTATTAAGAGTACAGGAGCAACATGCAGATACACTGTTTTGGATTCTCAGATGTACTGTTGTTTCAAATAAAAGTCCGTTCCTTTGCAGATTTCCAACTGGAGGAAAAATAATGGTCTAAAAGGTATGCATACTTTAGCACACTTTATTGGGAAAATTTATGCATATTCCAATGCTTGAAAACATTACAAAACAAGCACTGTTTTTACTATATTGGTTTGACTTGCAAGTACACATTGCTTCTTTTTAAATTACTGCATGCCACACCCTCTTCCTCCAGTTTCCACTACTGCTCTTCTCCTCATGTTCCTAGATTAAGAGAACAAATTATTTTAATGTAAGCAGCAGACAGAAAGAGAGTACTTAGCATTTTAGAAAAATTCCATGTAAATTAAATAGGGAAAAATAGTTTGAATAGAACATACAGGCTATATTGTAGACACCAGGTTTAATTATGACAAAATTTTTTTCTTTTCTTTTTTTTTTTTTTAAAGAAAGAAAGAGTAAGAGAAAAGGGGGAGAGAGAACAGGAGTCTTGCTCTATTGCCCAGGCTAGAATGCAATCTAGAAATAGGTATTAAAAACCTCTTTTATGCTGATGATTGTGCTTAACAGCGGAGACAGGAAGGAATAAGGAAATAAAATAATAAACAAACAGCCAACCAATATTTCGTTTAAATCTGTGAAATGCTGTGCAAGTGCTGAAGAGTGATTTGCTTCCATTTATGTGGTCACTTTCAAAATAGGTGTAATGTGATACTAAAAAAAATATATGTTCTGTGGACCTGGGGTGTAGAATTCTATAAATATTCACTGAGTTTACTTGTCCCAGGTCTGAGTTCAAATCATAAATGTCTCTGTTAATTTTCTATCTCATTGATCCGTCAAATATTAACAATGTGGTGTCAAAGTCTCCCACTATTAGTGTGGGAGTCCAAGTCTCTTTATAAGTCATTGAAAACTTGTCTTATATATCTGGGTGCCCCTATATTGAGTACATATATATTTATAATCATTGACTCCTATTGTTGCATTGATCTTTTTATCATTATGTAATGTCCTTCTTTGTTTCTTTTAGTCTTGGTTACTATTGTAGTCTATTTTGTCAGAGATGAAAGTTAGGACTCCTGGGTTTTTTTTGTTGTTTGTTTGTTTTGTTTTTCTTTTCTCTCCATTTGATTGGTGAGTCTTCCTCCAACCTTTTGTTTTGAGTCTTTGTTGTCCTTGCTTATGAGATGGATCTGGATACAGAGTGCCGATGCGTTTTGACTTTTTAATTCAGTTTGCATGTCTGTGTCTTTGATTGGGGCATTTAATCCATTTCAGGATTAGTATTGATATTTGTGAGTTTAATATTGTCATTTAATGCTTGCTGGCTATTTTCCCCATTAGTTGATATAAATACTTCATTATGGAGATACTCTTTATATTTTGGTAAGTTTTTGGGATGACTGATACTGGTTGTTCCTTTCTGTGTGTAGTGCTTCTTTCAGAAGCCCTTGTAAAGCAGGCCTGGTGGTGATGAAATCTCTGAGTGCTTGCTTGTTCGTAAAAAATTTTATTTTTCCTTCATTTATAAAGTTTAGTGTGGCTGGATATGAGATTCTGGGTTGAAAATTTCTGCTGAGAGATCTGCTGTAAGGCTTCCCTTTATGGGTAACCTGACCTTTCTCTCTAGCTGCCCTTAGAATTTTCTCTTTTATTTCAACCCTGGTGAATCTAACAATTAGGTGTCTTGGGGTTGCTCTACTTGAGGAATATCTTTGTGGTGTTCTCTGTATTACCTGGAGATGAGTATTGTCCCACCTTACTAGGTTAGGGAAGTTTTCCTGAATAATATCCTGAAGAATACTTTCCAGCTTGGATTCATTCTCTTCATGACATTCGGGTACACCTATCAAACGTAAATTAGGTCTTTTCACATAGTCCCATATTTCTTGGAGACTTTGCTCATTCCTTTTTACTTTTTCTTCTCTAATATTGTCTTCTCGTTTCATTTCATTAAGTTGGTCTTCGACCTCTGATATCCTTTCTTCTGCTTGATCAATTCGAGTGTTAAAACCTGTGCATACTTCTTGGAGTTCTCGTACAGTATTCTTCAGTTCCATTAATTCACTTATAGTCCTCTCTAAATTGTCTATTCTCGCTAGGATTTCGTCAAATCTTTTTTCAAAGTTCTTAGTTTCTTTACATTGGGCTAGAACATGTTCTTTTAACTCACAGAAGTTTCTTATTATCCATCTTCTGAAGCCTAATTCTGTTATTGGAATGCACTCATTTTCCATGAGGCCTTGTTCCCCTGTTGATGAGGAACTGTGATCCTCTGTAGAGGGAGAGGCATTCTGATTTTAAGTATTCTCAGCCTTTTTATGCTGGTTTCTTCCCATCGTTGTAAATTTATCCATCTGTTGTCTTTGTAATTACCAACTTTCAAATTAGGTCTCTTAGTGGACGTCCAACTTGTTAATTCCCAGGGCCAAAATGTGAGCAAGCCACAGTGCTGGCTAAAACAGCGGCATCAAGATTCTTGGTGCTTTTCTGTCCGGGAGTCTCCTGTCTGGCTTCCCTCCTGAATCCCTTCTTCAGTCAGCTCCAAACATCGGCCAAAAGGGGAACCAGTCCCATTTACTCTGCACCAAGAACCGCTGCACTGGGGCACTGGCAAAACCGCAGAGCCGGCTGCAAGAGTCGAGCTGGCGACTCATGGGGCTCCTCCACTGGAAATCTCCTGGTCCTTGGGCAAGAAAGATTGATCTGAAAGTGTGGCATCCTATCATTCTCTGTGCTTTCACTGGGAGCTACAAGCCTGAGCTGCTAGTGGTCAGCCATCTTGGATCTCGCTCTCTTTTGATTTTCTTAAGATTCACCTGGAGTCACTTTGGGCCTCAAATCTAGAAGTAGTGTTTATTTTCATGGTCAGATTATAGAAAAGATCTGAAGGTGACTGTGCATTAAAGGAAGTTACTTCTGGTATGGCATCTAGGTATTATCAGTGTAACTCAGTAAAGCAGAGACCTATTCAGCTCTTGAGTCACTTGATTTAGAATCTTCCATTCATGCACCTGCAAATATATGAACATGTGTGCACATATGCATACACACTGAGGACATACAGCCTTTCAATTCTATGATTGCATGCAGACATTTGGAAGAGGTTAGGCACTGGAGAAAGAATAATGTTTTTCCTGTATCTTTTATACTGTATTCATATAAAAGGACGTAAAGAGCTTCATAAGTCTGCATTAGTCAAAGATAGTGGAGGTTACGTTTCTTCACATTTGTGTATAATTTTCCAGTATCTCTGCTGAGTGATGTGTTTATGTAAGCATACTTGGATATTGTTATGTCTGATGTTTTCCAACAAAAGGAAATCCTTGCAACAAACCCGAGTCACAGGAAGAACTAGGGATTTCATTTTCCATTCTGTTTCTTTG